AAGAAGAAAATGTCCGTGTTGCACTGATGTTCATATCTTTTCAACTGATACTAAAAAATGTGTTATTAATAGTTCATAAAAATAAAATAACAGGAAGTAAACAACTCCACTCGATAATTTTTAGACACCATAAATAAAGGACAAAATATGGATGACACACTGCGAAACTTCAGTTTTCCTTAGTTTGTAGTCTAAAATATAGTTTTTAAACTTTAGTCGTCTATCACTTCCGATATAAGATAAAAGAAAATGGCCATTTTGTAGCTCTTGAAAAGCTGTATCAATTGGTCATATTTAAAACTTTTCAGCAGTACAGTTTCAATCTTCACTAGTGGAGTTTCAAATTTCAATTTTCACTGACAAGAATTCAGTGAAAATTGAAATTTTAAGTTGAACTAGTGGAGAATATTTTAATCTCCACTAGTGGAATTTTAAATTCCACTAATACATATAATAACTCCAGTTGCTTCACTTTTGTAAGGAAGATTTTTCGGTTTTTAGCAGGGTTTTGGACGTTCTTGAGCTTTTTCCGGTCTGAAAGAGCAGAGAAGTCCCGAATTCACTCGTGAACACAGCCACTCAATCGTTTAGAAGATCAGTTTTACAACCATTAAATATTTCCAAAAATGGAGGTCAGAATAAAAATTCAAAAACCCAATTCCAACTCCCCCAAGGTCAACGCCAACTCTAACTCCACCAAAAAAATCCTCAACTATGAATATCTGAAACAATTAGATAACCTATGTGCTCAGGATAATAGAGACTTACTATTTAGCTTATTAGTATCGTATAATATGATGCTTCCTCTTTTTAGTTAAATCTGAGGCTCATACATGTGATCTCATGGTGGATGTGTGGTTCCAGGGAAGTTCAATGTAACGCTTAAACTGTGATATAAGAGGAGTACAAGTGAATCTCACTCCAAGTTTTAGTCTAGAATACTATAACGCGCTAGTAGATTTACTTATCGAGTGGAGTTGTTTACTTCCTGTTATTTTATTTTTATGAACTATTAATAACACATTTTTTAGTATCAGTTGAAAAGATATGAACATCAGTGCAACACGGACATTTTCTTCTTGTATGCCATTTTATTCGTTTCTATTTTGCTACTGCTTCTATAAAGTATCTCTGGTATATATAAATTGTTTCTATTATTCAAGATCTAGAGTGCTCTCAGCTAATTTTCTATTGTAGTTCACCTATTGATGATGTAAATTATCATATTTACACGAAACAATACTTATAATATCCCACAAATGGATAATTGTTGGCTAGAATTACGTCGAGTTCAGCTGCTGAGGTCTGAAAACAGAAGGATGTTCATGACATGATAATAAACAATAACTTATGCTGAACTTCAAGGTAAATAGGTGAATTTTTTTTGTAATAGATACGATCTGTTTTTTTCTTTTTCTTTCTCTCTCTCTATATGTTGACTTACGCATACTGACGCACGCACATTGTTTTATGTTGTATTTGCTAAAGAAATATTTTGTACTTGTGTCAACTTCTGTGTTTAATTGTAACAATACCAAGATTACAAGTATTTTAAAGGTAATTCAATTTCTGTTGATGTTTCATTAGACCTTGTCCAGACTACAAAAGTTAAGTGAGAAACTCGTAACCGTATTAGATGAAAAAGTTAATTACAACTTAAGTTGTGTGCTCGACATGACTTAAGTTAATACTTAAGTGAGAAAAGAGTGTAGTCTGAACAAGACCTTAGTACTTATATTATCTTAACTAAAGCGTGTACCAGAAGAAATGAGTCATTTAGTATTTCGCCAATATCTGTGTCAATTTTCATTGCCAAGAATCGAAGTTCTTTTTAATGATTCCCTGTTCAGTTCTCTACAAAAACTATATTGAACATTTTTTATACATGACATAAATACAGGAGTATGGATGATACATTGTGCAGCTCCGGTCTCCATTACTTTGTAACTCAAAACTCAGCGTAAAAACATTTATTTTGAAGACAATGCTATGCATAAAAAGCAAAACCAAAAATGTATCGTCTGGTGGTCCGAAGTGCCGCCTTTCTTCTCATCTATCATACGTTGGTTTTAAGAGCGTTTTTCTAACACAGACGGCGATTTTAGTAAATTCACCAGAAAAAAGGGAAATGTTGACTAGTTCGCCTTGTCACAGCAGAAGGAATACAGCTATTGAACTTTTACTGTTCGAATGCAATAGAAGAATTATTTTACTTTAAGTTGAGGCGATCCCGACTCCAAAATGTTCCATTTTCACTGATTTATAAAAGTTTTCTCATGTGTCCCAAAACTGGGGTTTAAGGTCGATGATTTTCGGTAAAATCGATAAAAGAAAAGACATTCTCTCGCAACCAACCGTACTGATGAAAAGTTTTAAATATGACCAATTGATAGAGCTTTTCAAGAGCTACAAAATGGCTACAAATGATTCATGATATGATCAATAAAAATTGATGTACAGGACATTCCAGTATTCGTTTAATAAAGAATGAAAAGAGTGTCACTGCGTTCAATCTTTCTGGAATCTATTAAATATGTGGTTTTTACTTATTCATTGCCAACAACGTCGTGTTCAACTATGCTGAAGATACCATGATACAGTCTATTTAACTACGATCCTCGTAGTATGATACTGGCAAAATTATGGAAAAGCACTATAGCTGTTTTGCTGGTGAAATAGCCATGATACGTTTGTTGCAACTTAAGAACAGACACCGAGACACTCTGGCCTATCTATTCATCACAACAAATCAATACATTTGTGTTTGATGTATGTCAGCTATGAGTTTCTGTTTGTATATAGTTACTTTTTCAAAGATTCTGTAGAAAATCTGCTTCGAAACAACCTCCATCAAAACGTTTCTGCTTATAAAAAGATGAGCGTAGATCTCTATCATTTTTGTGTCAAAAATTAGCATACACATTATATTTCAAAACTTATGATACATTAATAGATTATTTCCTTTTTTGACTTAATGTTTATGAAACTCGTCCGTTACTAGTTTTTCTATCGATTTTCAATTGCAATATGAGTTTTAAAAAAAGACTGATTTGAAAGATAAACATCCAAGCCCGTTTAAGGGCCCCCTCAGAAAAAAACTTTTCTGTCTTACATCCGATTGTGATGATACTTTCAGCAAATGTTTGTCATATCAAAGAGTGGTTATGAAATTTTTTTCCCTCGCTATCTCTTACCGTTTCAGGGTTTTCCAGAGTCCAAGGTCAAAAACCCACCCTCTACTGTGGGGCACTTCTTTTTAAATATACTTCAAGCTAGAGATCTCGGGTTGATTTTATTTTAAACTAGATACCTAACTGTGAGAACCCATAGGACCCGATTTTTGATTTCGGCGTTTGTTTGTTTTCCAGGGATCTAAGGTCTTCAAAAACCCAACAAAATCCTTTCGGGTTTTTCGAAGAAACTTGATTTTCTAAAAAGCTAAAGCTTAATTCAAAAATCGGCTCTCATCAGCACCCGCAGTTAGGTATCTGGTTTAAAATAAAACCAGTTCTCTCCGAGATCTCTAGCTCGAAGTGTATTTAAAAAAAGCGTCCCACACCGGGCATGTTCGAACAAAAAACGTGTTTTGAGAGAAAACGCCGGGCATTCATTGGTCTATTTTAGGACATGTAGGAAAATGCTTGTAATTTTTTAACGCAAGATCACACAAAGTTGTACAGCGTCTTATTATGATCAGAAAAGTCTGCTCTACAAATCTACATGTTCAGAAAAAATTTACTTGGTTAAATGTCCAGAAAAAATGATTATTTGAAGATCCTGGTTTTCAAGGCTTCTAGAAAACTTGCTCGAAATCCACGAAAGACCAGTTCTAACCAGGGAAATCCATCAACTTGAAAATCGTTTGCGCACCAAAATCTAGTGGGTCATAGGTTATCGACGGTCCTGAATTCGAATATCATCATGAAACCGGCTGCTAGGCCTTGTACGACCTGGTTCACAGAAACCTCAAAAATCCCCAAAACTTTTTCTAAATAAGTCATGATTGTAGCCCGTGAAATTAGGATCAAAATGAGACATTTCCCAACTCTACACGACCTTTCTTTGCAAAGTTATAGACTTTACAGGAAGAGCCCTAAATATTCATTGTCACTTCAGAGCTACAGAAAGAAAAAGGAATTTAGGACTCATCCTGTAAATTCTATAACTTTGCAAAGAAAGGTCGTGTAGAGCTGGGAAATGTTTCATTTTGATCCTAATTTCACGGGCTACAATCATGACTTATTTAGAAAAAGTTTTGGGGATTTTTGAGGTTTCTGAAAACCAGGTCATGCAAGGCCGGGCAGCCGGTTTCATGGTGATATTCGGATTCAGGACCGTCGATAACCTATGACCCACTAGATTTTGGTGCGCAAACGATTTTCAAGTTGATGGACTTCTCTCGTAAGCCCAAAAGCGTTACAGATTCTAAAAGTAGACACTCAAGGCTATCTTTCCATGTGCTTGTCTCTAAATTGATTTTTTGACATTATATTTTTATATTCTATAGTTATGACAACCGAGGTAACTGCACCTTTTTACTCATATTTTATGTGTATTACGGAGTAAAGTATATCGCTTAGTGCTGAGTTGAGTATTGGAAAATACCGAATTTGGTGCTGTAAAAAAAAAGTGCGACTCTTAATGTGAGTGTATAGAAAAGAATATGTCAGCTAATTTACCGAACAGTTTACAGCGATAATATCTGATGCTCAATAAAGCCATATTTGTTTTTATTCTCGATCTGAGTGAATAAAATAATTAGACGCTTTTCTACTGCTGATGTAAATTGTACGTTTAATTATAGACTTGTGTATACTCTGCTTTCTGTATCTACGATCTACCATCACAATTTGTTCTATTTTCATTATTCCATCGATGATAAAATTAATCTAAAATCAGAACACGCGGCTAGATAAAACAATCTTATTGTGATGGTGCTGTCATTTTTATGTGCTTATACCAGTGACAAGAACAGAAAAATGAAAGATTCATTTTATTCAAAATCAAATGTCTAAAATACTGAAAGGGCTAATAAGTAATAATGAGATGGGAACAATTCTTTTCTCTGCGTCTCGATGACCTAAAATTCCATAAACCAAGAGGGATAAACGTTACTATAAAGTGCCAAGGGATTTAATCTGTTATTTAATAATTTCGACTTAGGATGATCACAATGAATTAGCTATATGTGTACAGAATGCTTATAAAAGTTACGGTTATTGGAAACCTGTTAATGTTTTACATGATATCAATTTAAATGTACCCAAAGGTTTCATGTATGTCAAGAAAGACGAGCTTTTTTTGATGATTACACAATACCTTGTGTTTTCTCGCTAGATATGGTTTATTAGGACCAAGTGGTTGTGGTAAGTAGATGAGACATTAAGAACAATAAGAATAATTGAATTTCTCATTCAAGGTAAAACAACATTATTACGATGTCTTGTTGGTCGTTTACAATTAAATAATGGTCAACTAACCGTATTAGGAGCAGCACCCGGTTCAAGAGGTCATGGTGTACCAGGTCACAAGGTTGGATTTATGCCCCAGGAAACAGCGTTATACAAAGATTTTAATATCAGCGAAATTTTACATTATTTTGGTCGTTTACATAATATGACAAGAAAAGATATATTGAATCGAGAATCCTTCTTAATAGCATTTCTTGATTTACCATCGAAAACAAAAAAGATTTACCAATTAAGGTAGCAGTAGTCTTATTCTGAGATGGAGTTAATAATTAATTGTTAAATCTGTCTAGTGGTGGTCAACAACGTCGCGTGTCATTAGCTTGCGCTCTTTTGCAACAACCGGAGTTGTTGATATTAGATGAGCCTACTGTAGGCGTCGATCCTCTTCTTCGAGAAAAGTATGCTCATATGTTTAATTGATAAAGCATAAAGACGACTACTTTTTCGTTCTATAGAATTTGGAGTCATTTGATATTAATATCAAAAACTAATGGAACAACAATTGTCATAACAACACATTATATAGAAGAAGCAAGGAAAGCGAATAGAGTAGGTGATGTGGTGAAAAAGAATATCACTGTCACCATTGTACTGTCACTATTTCGTAAAGATTGTTCATGATAAAAACTTCGATGAATCGCAAAGATTCAAGAAATGTTTCATTCTGTAAAGAATGATTTACTTCGCATGTTTGTGTGTAGAAAAAGAAGCTGAGAACTATAGTTGGAGAAATATTTGAATATTTTAGAAGGAGATAAAAACACTTATCACCTGGAACACCAGCTATGATTTTTCAAAAACCTTAGTAATTTTGTCGCAGTCATTCTGAGAGTTTTTTTCAGTTTACGGAATATTACTCTGAGAATTTCTCGGCAAAATAGAACAGATCTATCCAACGAGTTAATACATTTTTCTTAAGTGGTTCACTGGTTTGTGTCTAGTCATAACATGATTCTCTATAAGTATTGTTGAAGAATTAGATCCTATTCTTTATTCCTACATGGAGTGTTCAGTGTTTCGCATATAGAAAAATTGCTCAGAATGACTCTGTACATCAACAAAATCGGGGGAACTACCACCGTGTTTTTTTATAACTTTGTAGAACGCATCAAGCTGTATATACCCCGAAGTGTTTTCGATGAACAGACTTGTAATTGCTGAGAAAAGAAATTTTTACGAATTTCATACCGATTTTGATCCTCTATTTAAAAAATTTGTCAAAGATTCAAAATTAAAGCTGAAACTCTTATTGTTACGCAGTTCAACCGCGTACATCAAGTGATATATACCACAAGTTATAATGAAAATTGAACCAGCTGTGTCTGAGAAAATCAACGCGAAGCATTTTGAAGAAAACTTTTCGCTGGCAAAGTTGTTCAGGATAATCCTCTTCATACCTTAAGCGGAGCACTTTTAGCATTTTAGTAGGAAAATTTTGAAATAAATTATAAATAAAACATCTTGAGCTTGAAATTTACTTAAAATTTATGTAAATTGCATTTATCTTTATTTCCTACTAAAATGCTAAAAGTGCTCCGCTTAAGGTATGAAGAGGATTATCCTGAACAACTTTGCCAGCGAAAAGTTTTCTTCAAAATGCTTCGTTTTTTTTGAAAATGCTTGCATAAATTCGTGTACGAAGTAATGAAAAATCACTGCATGGGAGTATCCTAATATAGGTTTTCACTAGGTTTTGAATTTTTCCGGAAAACAAACATTGCCACGAGACTCAGCGTGATGGATAACCCATGTTTTCATTCATTTTCGAGATTACCACACTTAAGGAAATATCAATCCTGGCGCTTCAAAGAAATCCGATGCCGCACCTACAAACTGGCATAATCTGAGGACAGCTTTTTAGATGGTTAGTCCCCTTAAATGCTTAGTTTGTAAAACCCCTTGAAAAGAATAACATTTTGTATTTTCCCAGAAAAGTCACAAGGCAGAGTCAGTGAAAGGCAGTATTCAATGTTTAATATGACTTACAGTTCGTTGCATTTTACAATCGCTACATACCCCTAGATTGTGTTCTTATATATACCCTGACAATTATAGCTCCCACCTTTTTCTATCAAAGACAACTTAAAATTTGGACAGATAGCAATTCATGGAGCTGACGAATAAACTCAACACAATGAACAGAAGGGGACTTCGAGTTAAGACGTTTTATTTACTATTATTGTCTTGCAATTGATTTCAAGTGATTATTATTTGTTTAGGTTGGTCTTATGCGTAGTGGAAGAATATTAGCTGAAGACGAACCACTTGCCCTACTGGATAAATATAATCAATCAGTACGTACTATTTTGCCTGATAATGTCGTGCTTTTAATATAATCGACAGTAGTAACGCTTTCCTTTTGATATGAGCAGTTTTCGTTGTATTAACAAGTAATAAATGACTCATTTGTTTGTTTCTTTTAGAGTTTAGAAAATGTGTTTCTTCATTTATGTGTTGCAGATCAAAATCGTGTATTATCTAAATTAAAACAAACCGTGAATATTACCAATGATCAACATAGACACTTAACAACAGCAACGAATGCTTTAGTTATTAATGATCAGGTACAGTCCGTTCTTATTTATTTGCTTATTTTGATTACTCCATAATGTTGACACAGCAGACAGTAATATCGACAACTCATCAGAATGGGGCTGATGTGATCGATCGTGAAAATTGTTTAGCAAATGTTTCAGTTGATTCAGAAATTACTGTACAAACGTCGTTAAATGATCGAGCTACGGACGGCCATGGTATACAAATATTAGCGAATGGAACAATATTGCCTAAACAAGTAAAACCACCGCAAGTCGTGAAAAGTCGTAAGTGTTATCATGACAACGTTGACGTTTTCCTATAAATCAAACATGCAAATTTGCCTACGAATTCTGATGACAAATTCAGTCGTGATTCTTGCAAGGACAAAATTAATCCTTTGTGCTTTTCCATACATCACAGAAGAAAATCGTCCCGGAAGATCACAGAGAGAAAACTGTCAGATGTTTCAGAAGAACTCGCAGAAATTTGTTTTAGAGCACTAGAAGAATCTCGAAGGATTGTTGTTTCCCTGGCGAGTTATAGCAAGATCCTGGATTTTTTCCAGCAGGCATAGTACAGAAGTTCCTCAGTTACAGTAAGAAATAGACTGACGATACAATCAAGTGATAAAGTTTTGAAAGAAAGATTCAGAACAAATAATTACAAACTACTCGGCCAATCCTAGATTGGACGCTGACATATATACATACATACAGATCTATATACACAGGATGGTCAGATGACGCTTCGTCCGAAGAAACAAGGGTATAAGCGTAACCATTGTGGTGATTTTCGCCTCTGCTTATGAACTTTGAATGACAAGTATAGCTGGCTAATTTTACCTCATCTCCCCTCCGATACAAGTGCTGAAAATGATTGGGCATCAGTCAACCAGAGGTTTTCTAAAACAGGAATTTTCTTTATAAGTTATAATCTTGCAACTTCTGGTCAGATCACAGGATTGAGAGTTCGTATTGGTATTAAAATGATGTATCCATGTAGCTAAAGGTTCGATGAGTCTGATTTCTGATACTTTGTATTGCAGAGTGATGAAAGGATTGAAAAGTCAAATATCATATATTGTATTCTAAGTAAAACAATTTTCTCATTCGAGAACAAAATCAAAATCTGTCTCTAATGGAGACTAACATTAGCTACAATTCAAAACTAGTCTCAATTTTTCAGCATGTAACCTGACGGTGAAATTTGCCCTAGAGAAAGAATTTTTGACAATTTTTATAAGATTCTTACAAGATTCTTATATAAGATGTTAATGCTCACTGGTTCTGATAAGAAACTGATAAGATTCTTATAAGATATTCATAAGAAAGTAACAAGCCGACTTGTCACTTTCTTATGAATATCTTATAAGAATCTTATCAGTTTCTTACCAATTTCATATGAACTTCTTATAAAATTCTTATCTGATTTTGACAAGAAAACTGTTGTGATTTTGCAGATCCAGCCCATACTCTTCTGTTTCCTTATTCAATTTGCTGCTCTCTTTAGCTGTTCTTATCGGGCTTTAAAACCATTTCAGTCTCTTATATTTATTGAATTTTGCTAGAGATCAGTCTGAACAGGCGAAATTTATGCAAACGAGCGAGATGTGGTGCCCTGTATTCTCCTGTCACATAGTGTTTTTTTCGAACTTCTTTCTTTTTCAATAGTCACGATAAGTTGGAGATGTACATCCGGTTTGCAGGCAGTAGACCATAGGGCGAGTCTTTAGATTACCCACCTGCGAATTAGATCTTATGACAGAAAAACAGTATCAAGAAAATCTTATTCAGGTGTGAAAGCAGCAAATTGAATAAGGAAACACAAGAGTATGGGCTGGATCTGCAAATTCACAGTAGTTTTCTTGTCAGAATCAGATAAGAATTTCATAAGAAGTTCATATGAAATTGGTAAGAAACTGATAAGATTCTTATAAGATTTTCATAAGAAAGCGACAAGATGTGAATATCTTATAAGTTTCTTATAAGAATCTTGTAAGAATCTTATCAGAAACTTATAAAAAGCTGATAAGTATTTTGTATGCTTCTTGTGAGTGCCTTGTGAGATCCTTATATAAGAATCGATGTCTAGGGTGGGACATACGAACCATCCCTGTAAAACTATGATTTTAAGAAAAATACAAACTACTTGATCTTTCTGTATGTGATTTGATGGTCATGTACTCCGCATATACATGGACCTATGAGGATCTTATTTTTTTTTCAAAAGAAGACACTTTAGACTATTAGATCATGTATTTTTCGTAGGATTGACATTTTTGTTTCCATGTTTTTCCTCGTGTTTTAAAATAATATCATATCAGATCTAATTAATAACATTCTTTTCTAGCACTACTAAGAGTAAAACGTGCAGCAATTGATTGTTGTGTTTTTCCTCATGCACACAAAATTTGGGCATTAATGGTTAAAGATTTGACGTTAATTAAAGGAAGTATCGGGTATGTATTTTTTTTGATAAATACTTTAGCATTAAAAGATAGAGATAAGGTAGCGCATTTCTTTTTCAGATTTTTGATATTTCAGTTTTTGATACCCGTCTTGCAAGTGTCATTGTTCTGTCTTTGCATTGGACGTAAGTGAAACATCTTATGTTTGTTCGTAATCATTCATGAATATGTTTTATATAGGTGATCCACATCACATTCCTTTGGCAGTGGTTAACGAAGAAGCGTCTGCTAATTATCCCACAGGCAATCGAAGTTTATCATTATTATCGAAAATTGATAGTGAATATATAAAACTGGTATTTATTAGACACTTTAATTAACAAATCCTTCGCCAATTTTTCTAAATTAAGAGTTTTTATTTGCCTCCAGTGAGAAATCTATCTTAAGATCTATAGATTCGACTGGAACGTACAGTTAGCAAATATTTTGAAAGTATAATAGAGTTTGTTTTTTGTCTTTGTTCTTCGTTGATTTTTAGATTGTAGACATTACCAGTTTGGAATTAAAAAAAATCAGTGTTATTTTTTGTGAGAAAACTTTCTCTCTAAAAAACAACTGGATCGGACCCTGGTCATCTCTAAACATATGTGTTACGCCTGATCCAAGCTTATTTTCGGTGAACTTATTATCTTTTTGTTCGAATTTTACGAATGTTGTTAACACAAGGGGGAAAGCACGGAATCCTGGAATCCTGGAATCTCATGGAATCCAATGGAATCCAACGGAATCTCATGGAATCTTACAGAATCCAATGGAATCCTGGAATCCAAAAGAATACAAAAGAATCCAACAGAATCCAAAAGAATCCAAAAGAATCCAAAAGAATCCAAAGGAATCCAAAGAAATCCAATGGAATCAAATGGAATCGGATAGAATCTGGTGGACTCCGATGGAATCCGGGATTCTACACTTCTCCCGAAACAGAACGAAAGTGTTCTATATTTCGGGAAACTTTTCCCAAAAACAGAACAAAATATTCTGTTTTGGGGAGAAGTTCCAGAGAATCCAAGAGAATCCTATGGAATCCTTCAGAATCCTAGAGAATCCTAAGGAATCCTAAAGAATCACAGGGAATCCTTAGAATCCAGAGGAATTCAGGATTCCAGGATTCTGTGCTTTCCCCCTTGTGTTAACATCAATTGAAAATTCAGCTGTTATAGCATGGGGAATTTCGAAAGATATTGGATGCTTTGAGCGAAAAAAGTCACTATGTGTATTATGCATGTTTTTTGTATTGAAAATGATATTGAATGTTTTCCACGATAGTGTTCTATAAACTACTCAATTTATCTATTTTATTCTAGCATTCATATAAGAATATATCCGAAGCCACTTTGTATGCAAGAAGGGGTGATTATGATGGTATAATGAGTATAAGAGCAAATTTCAGTCAAGCTATTATAGACAAGTATAAATATTATATATTTGCTCTCATAAGCTGTAATCTTTGTATTGCGTTTAGACTAACACAATTTAAGTCAGATCCAGCAACATTAGATCAGGGTGCAATACATCTTTCCTTAGATATGACAAGTAATGATTTATAATACTCACATTCTCAAATGATGCTATATCATCTCTCTCTTTGTCAAAATAGATCAACAAGTTACATATGTCATGCAATCATCTATATTAAATGCAGCACAATTGTTCATAAAAGAATTTCTTATAGAAAACAAAATTGACCCAAGAATTGCAGATCCACCTGTTATTGTAAGTAAGAAACAGTGATGATAGATTTTAATTGTGATTAACAATCACCGTTTCTTAAACTCCGTAAAGTCTAAGGATAAAGCATACTCTTTGTTAATTTTGCATATGTTATTATTGGTTATTTGACTTATCGGCGTGGCCAGCTACTGGTCTCCCTCAAATCAGAAGGTTCAAAAACATAATTTTACCTAATTAAATTGAGAGGTACATCAGTAGATGTAGTCTTTTACGCTGATCACTAAAATCAACTTTAAATTTTATAAAAATTAAAAATTAAAGGTACAAAGTTAAATTTTCGCATTTTCACATTTTTGTAATTTCGATTTTCTCACCTCAAGGATGTAATTCGGTCACGAAGGATATTTTGACATTTTTATTTGACTCTGTAATCTATTGTGAAAACCAAGTAGATATTCTGAAAACTCGTTAAAAACTGAACAACTTTTACCTAGAATATTTCCTTGTGTCACTGCTCAATCGGAAGAAGAAAAAAACAAGTTCCATTCCTTGAAATTCTGTCGCGGCCTCTATTTTCCAATAACTTTTGTATGACTCAACCAATTCCAATAAAAATTTTTTTGATAGTAGAACTCATGGTTCTCTACCCATGATAAAAACGATAGTTATAAATCGCAGAATGCAAAAAAATGAAATTCTGTCACACTTGACCACGACCTTATCCTAATGAACTTTTTCTATCGGTGAAAAGACGTATGTGATGAAAAGTTAATCACATTCATTTTTTTAATATAGTGTACTGTTTATCATCTTATTTCTATTTTTCAGATTGAAAAGCCTATCTATGGTGATACATCCCCTCACTTTTTAAATTTTGCTGCTCCAGGAATGATGATATCGTATGTTTGTAATTTTCTATCATTCTTTTTATGTTTATATATAACTCGTTGCTTTTAGTATAATATTCTTTTTGGCTATTGGTTTAACATCACTGATATTTGTGGTTGAAAAGAAAGAAGGTTTATTAGAGCGAAGTTGGGTTGCGGGTATGACGTTAGTCTCTTTAGACAAATTCTTTTAGAATTTTTATAGATCATTTTTAAGCGTACCCCCTCCCCCCCTCTTTTTTCACCTTGTTGCCAAATGCGGAGTACATGTCCGATTGAGCTCAAATTTATAGCAGAGATAGAACATCGAAAAAGAAAATCGATGTATTTTTGCATAGAATTTTGTGACGTGTTCTTCT